CGTGTTCCATTTCTTCTCTAGCTGCTGTCTTTCCTGAAGCCCCACCCATTCCACACTGGGTACCACGCTCATTTCTTCATTTCCCCAAAGACTCATTGACAAAAGATTGTGGTTATTTACAAACATTTTCAGAAATATTGAGGAGAAACATATATCTCCTCAATATTGAAGCCTAAGGAAGGAAACAATTGAATGCCATCATTACTATTGCAAGAGTTTGAAACTGATACTCCACCAGAAGCTTTCTCTCTGGCCTTACCTACTCTTTTCTGCTCTTTCCTGTGAGCTGCTCCCTCCTTCCTTCTACCCAGTGATCTGAGTCCTGTTTTTGCTTTGTTTTTCTCATGGCCATCCTAACAGATGTGAAGTGATCTCTCATTGTATTCTGACTTGCATGTGTCTGGTTATCAGTGACATTGACCACCTTTCCATACAACTCTTACCCATTTGTTGTCTTCTTTGAAGAAGTATCTTTTCAAATGTTTTGACCATTTATGTCAGGTTACTTATTTCCTTGCTACTAAGTTGTAGAGTTCCTCGTAGGTTTTAGACATTAACTCATTATCAGTTTAAGGTTTGTAATTATTTTCTCCAATCCTATAAATGCCTTTTCACTCTGCTGATTGTTTCCTTTGCTGTGAAGAATGTTTGTAGTGTGACATAGGGACACTTGTCTGCTTTTTACTCTGTTGCCTGAGCTTTTGGTGTCATATCCAAGAAATCATTGCCAGAGCCCTAATATGAAATTTCCCTCTGTTTTTCTCTAGGATTTCTAGACTTGGGATCTTATATTTGAGTCTTCATCCATTTTTAGTTGATTGTTGTGTATAATAGAAGACAAAGGCCCAATTTAATTCTTCTTTTTTTTGGTGATACTAGGGTTAGAAATCAGGACCTCCTGCTCCCTAGGCAGATGCTGTGCTATTTCAGCCATGTCTCCAGCCCTTTTTGTTTCTAGGTTGTTTCTTCAGCTAGGATCTTTCTTTTTGTCAGGGACCAGCCTCGGCCCACAATCCTCCTATCTCTGGTATGACAGGCACATATCATCACACCCAGGGTTTTAATTGAGATGGGGTCTTGCTAACTTTTATCCCAGGCTGGCCTCTGACTGCTGTCTTCCTGATCTCTGCCTCCCATGTATCTGGAATTGCAGGCATGAATCACACCCATGCCTGGCCTTCAATTTGCTTCTTTTGTATAGGAATATCCAATTCTGTCAAAGAGACAGAGGAAAGGGCCAGGGTCCCCATATCTGCTTCAGTGGCACCCTCCCCTGTGACCTTACTTCCTCCCACCAGGCCCCACCCCATAAAGTTTCTACCACCTCCCTGGAGCTCCCCAGGCTGGAGACCAAACCTTCAACTCTTGAACCTTAGGAGGAGTCAAGATCCAAACTACAGCAGGTAAGTCCAACTCAAACTCCAATCTCAAACTTTATGTGTCCAATATTCTCTGAATGAATGAAGATTCCTCTTGCTCCTTTTGGCTATTCACTTTCAAGATTTCAGGATCCATTATCATTGTGTCTACAGAGGAAGCCCATCAGATGGTGACCATCAGGAACACACCCGAAGTTCATCAAAGGTTGAGTGGCTCCTTGCTGGCCTATGAGAGTATCCCACCGTCCTGCAGAATCCTAAGGTGCCGGGAGATCTGGGGCACCTCTGTGGGGAGGGTGTCACAGCATCTGGGCTTGTGCTGAATGATGCTGAGGGACCAGGGGAAGCAGGATCAGCTCTGGATGAGTATTGTCCTGAAGCAGGGGCAGGTTGACTCTTGGGATTTATGGTAATCTTTGTTCTAGAGCTGACAGAACAAGCAGAGCTGGGGACATCAGGGGAAAGAACAGTGAACATTGAAAAGGAGAGAGGGTGCAAAGCCCAAGGAGAAACACTGTTCACCTGAACTTGGCCTCTCGCCTTAGAAACATTTTAAAGGTTCTCTTAGAACATGTAGCCTTATCACCTGTTTCTCTAGAAACTCCAGTTTTTTTGTCTGTTTTTTTTTTATTCATTTATTCAGATGTGCATACATTATTTAGGTCATTTCTCCATCCTCCCCCCCACACCCACTTTCCCCCTCCCCCGCTCAGTTCCAGGTGGGTCCTGTTCTGCCCTTATCACTAATTTTGTTGAAGAAAAGACACAAGCATAATAAGGAAGACAAAGCATTTTTGCTAGGTGAGTTAAGGATAGCTTTACAGAGAAATTCCTACTATTGCTTTCATGTACCCATGTATTATGACCCATGTTGATTCATCTCTAACTGATTTTTACACTAGTTCACAATCCCATTCTCATGTTAACCTCTGTCACTGTAAGGTTTCTGTATTACTTCCTCTGGAGTGGGGACATCAAACTCTTTCATGTTTTGGGTTTTCTACCTATTCCTGTATCTCCCGTATGTGCTCTCCCCTTGTCATGTGATCCAAGTCCAACCACATTGCTGCATTTGCCCTAGATCTAAAGTCTGCATATGAGGGAGAACATATGATTTTTGGTTTTCTGAGCCTGGCTGGCCTCGCTCAGAATGATGTTCTCCAGTTCCATCCATTTACCTGCAAATGTAAGATTTCATTCCTTTTCATGGCTGAGTAAAATTCCATTGTGTACAAATACCACATTTTCTTGATCCATTCATCAGTAGTGGGGCACCTTGGTTGTTTCCATATCTTGGCTATTGTTAATAGCACTGCAGTAAACATGGGTGTGCAAGTGCCTCTGGAGTAACCTGTGTTGCATTCCTTTGGGTATATCACCAGGAGTAGGATTGCTGGATCATATGGCAGATCTTTGTTTAGATTTTTAAGAAGTCTCCAAATTTTTTTTCCAGAGTGGTTGCACCAGCTTGCATTCCCATCAGCAGTGGACTAGGGTTCCTTTTTCCCCACATCCTCAACAACACTTGTTGGTGGTGGTGTTTTTGATGATGGCTATTCTAACAGGGGTGAGGTGGAATCTGAGTAAGGTTTTGATTTGCATTTCCTTAATGGCTAGAGATGGTGAGCATTTTTTCATGTGTTTTTTGGCCATTTGAATTTCTTCTTTTGAAAAAGTTCTGTTTAGTTCAGTTGCCCACTTCTTAATTGGTTCATTGATTTTAGGAGAGTTTAGTTCCTTAAGTTCCCTGTATATTCTGGTTATCAGTCCGTTGTCTGATGTGTGGCTGGCAAATATTTTCTCCCACTCTCTGGGTGATCTCTTCAGCTTAGAGACCATTTCTTTTGTTGTGCAGAAGCTTTTTAATTTTATGAAGTCCCATTTATTCATCCTTTCTCTTAGTTGCTGGGCTGCTGGGGTTCTATTGAGGAAGTCTTTGCCTATTCTTATTAGTTCCAGAGTATAGAAACTACATTTTAAAACCTCTTAGCTGAAGCTCTGGGCTGGGAACTGAGGCTGCTTCCCTGAGTCAAAGTGACCCACAAAACTCAAATCTTTCAAGTAAGAGTAAGATGTTCCCTTTTCATTGATACAACTTTAAGCAGCATAGTGTCACCCAGACTAGGACAGTATTTTCCAATAGAAATAGAATGTGAGCTGCATACACATTAAAATTCATTCCGATAGCTACATTAACAAGTAAATAGAAACAGATGAAATTAATTTTAATAATACAGGCTAACTCAGTGTATCCATGATATTTCAACACAAAATCAATATTAAAATCAATTACATTATATATGCATATATATTACAGTAAGTATCAGAAATCCAATATACCAGATCTCAACTTGGGGCTTTAGATTGAGAAAGAAAAAAATTCTGAGGAGCCAGTGGCTGATGCCTGCAATCCTAGCTACTCAGGAGGCAGACATCTGGAGGATCGTGGTTCAAAGCCAGCCTGAGCCAACAGTTTGGGAGACCCTATCTCGAAAAAATCCTTTATAAAAAAAGGGCAGCTAGAGTGACTCAAGGTGTAGCCTTGAGTTCAAACCACAGTACTGTGAAAAACAAAAGAAAGTAAAAGATAAAATCTGAGAGTTAGAGGTATGGCTCAAGCAGTAGAGCACCTGCTTGGCAAGCACAAAGCCCTGAGTTCAAACCCCAGTGCTGCACAAACAAACAAAAAATTCTCAGATGTCCTGAATTGAATTTGGGAGGAAGAGGATGGAAGGAACGAGATAGGGGGAGGTTAGGCAGTAACACGTTATGGGCTCAAAAAGAATGAAAGACTGTTTTTGCATGCTTGAATGGATGTTAAAGCTTTTACTCAACTCCTGTCAGGACATTTCAGATATCATGACTCCAGAGATACCATCACATCCTGCAGCTCCAACGAATCTAGAGGCACTTGTTGCTTCTCCTTGTAGATTGGCCATCTATCCCAAAGCCATCCTTCTTCTCTAAATAGCCAAGGTAGGTCCAAAGTAAGTAACTTGTTCCTTGCTTTCACAAATTTTCAAAATAAAATACTGATTTTTGTTTTGCTTTAGATTAAGCAGACATTTTTCCAACTGCTACCAACCCTTGTTGCTACTTGTAACAGGACCAGTCCTTTCTTTTTCTGATAGCATCTATAATGATTCAATAATCCCTTTTATTTTACAGCTCTTTTGAGTTTACAAGATTTTTGTTGAAAATACATCCTTTGCATTTAGTTTTCCAATAACTGAACCAAGTACCAGTTTCCTTTTTCTCTCTCTCTCTCTCTGTTTTTTTTTTTTTTTTTGTGGTACTGTGGTTTGATCCCAGGACCTTCACCTTGTTACTCCACCAGCCCTTTTCTGTGACCCGAACCAAGATAAGCACACAGGAATTAGCTAAAACGTATAGTAAGTGCTGGGTGTTTGTTTCTGTTTGCTGGAATATTAATTGTGTTCATACAGAAACATACAATGATACAATATGAGAAGGAATCTGAGTGAGAGGGGACAGGAAAAGGCATCTAACATTTGTGCCAGGTATGGTGGTGCTGTTTTCACTGAAAAAGAACCATTCTCCTTCGTATTAAATTTGTAGTAAAGGACAAGCAGAAAAGGAAAAGGTAAGTAAGGAATGAAATGGAAGATCAGAGAGCTTGCGTCATGGTGCTCCTGGTGCTGCCGGGGTGAGTCTAGGAAGACAGAGTGGAAAAGCTGAAGTCCAGACAGTTCTTACTGAGGAGGAGGAAGAGCACGCTGGGTAAGACGATGCTGACGTTTAACAGCACGTTCTTCTTACTGTGCTATGATGCTACTATTCACATGGACTAATATATGATTAAGAAGTCTTGTGCTCTTTTCAACTGGGATATCAGTCTCACAAGTTTGTCACCATGAAAGAAAGAGAATGAAGAATGAGATGTGATTGCTACCAATTATATTGATAGCCATTTGATAAAGTTGATAACCGGGTAGGAGCTGGGCAGAACAGACATTCTCAGGTAGTGTTGGTGAAGGAGATTGGTAAGTATTTAAGTGTAATTGAGCAGCAGTTATCAAAAATTTAAAGCTCACATTTTAAGCTTAAACCTTCACTTCAGGGACTGGATCGTTCTGAGGCAGGAAAACATTCCTTTGTAAACACGTGCATGCACACAGGTGTTAAGAATATATGTTACACATGGTAGAAAACATGTCTGTCCCTCCTTCCTACTTGAAGGAAAGGCAGCTCTTTCAGTTGTTCTGCCAAAGTAATGTGCTGTCATTCTTGACTTACCTGCCTCCCTTTCCCCTCAGGAAATCTGCTCATATTTCCCTACAAAGCTGTCCAGAATGTTGTCACGTGTTCCGTGTCCACGTTCTATCATTTGCTGTCTACATTAGTGAAAAGTCTGCTGATTGGTCACCTAGTTTCTGTTTTTTTAATTTAATTATTTTGTTACTTGGTTTTGAACACAGGGTTGTTCCCCTTGAGCCACTCCACCAGTCCAATTTTTTGTGATAGGGTTTTTCTTGATAGGGTCTCACAAACTAATTGCCTGGGTTGGCTTCGAATGGTGAACCTCCTGATCTCGGCCTCCTGAGTAGCTAGGATTACAGGCGTGAGCCTCTGATGCCCTGCTTAGTTTCTGTTTTACAAATCCTTGTTTCCATCAGCTTTTAACACTGTGGTAGACCTAATAAAATCCAAGTCAGATTATGTCATCTCTCCACCTAGAACCTTCTGCTTGCCTCCTCTTCCCTTAAAGTCTATGCTAACATATTTAGTAGTATCCACGATCTGACCCCTGTACAGGTCTAAGGTTGCCTTGCATTTTTCTTTCCTTTTCACTTACCCCAGCCACACCGCACCTCTCAGTGTTCTACAAACACCCCGGCATCCTTCTGTGCTCTCAGCTTTTCTATCAGACAGCGTCCTTCCCTCAGTTCCCTGCTGAAATGTCTCCATCAGCAAGGCCTTTCCTGGCTGTCCTGATTAAGATTTCCACTGCCCTCCATACAGCCCATTAAAATCCATGTTCCTCTGACGTATGATGTGTTTTCCCATCTGTTTTGTGAGTCTCAGAGAATGGAGTTGGCACTTTTCACATCCGTTCAGTTCCCTGTTGCGTGGTGTTGTCTCTGGTAAAATGGAGGCTCTTGCACAGAGGGCTGGCTGTGCACTTCCTCACTCACCAATGCTCTGGGAATTGCTGCATCATCCTGATCCATATCTGCATCACTTCCTGCGTGTGCCCACCAGCAGAGGACTGACATGTCCATGTCCCCGCATACTTGCCCGTTCTTACCAGATGTCCAACCTCTGACACGCTGGGAGTGTAAGTGTAACTTGTGGCTGTTTTAATTTTTAGTTACCTGGTTATTAGGATGGCTGAATATCTCCGTAGGAGTTTTCTTTCTGGAATTGTGTGTTCACAGCTTTGCCCATTTTTTTATATAGGGTTGTTTGTCTTAATTTTCTTCGTGATCATAATTAAACTTCTATAGTGTGAGTCAGTCCTTTTTCACTTATGGGAATTGCAGACATATTCTCCCACTTTGTAACTTATGTTTTTACTTTCTCTGTGGTATTTTGCTGATCCAGGATTAACAACAATGCCATCAAAATGATCAAGTCTGTCCTTTGTTATTTGTGTTTGATTTCTTTTTATTTGTTTTTTTTTAGTGTGTAACAAAATGATGTTCAAAATAATGTGTTTCATTCCAACATTTTCATCCATTTATATAATGTCCTTGAATCACATTCCCCCTGTATTTTAATTCTAAATAATTATCTTTCTACATCATAAAGATGGTTGCCAAGTTTTTCTAATGGTTTTACTGCATTTCATGCAAGTCTGTACTGTGTCCATAATTCAATGTCTGTGAACAAAGACAGAAAACTCCTTCTTTTTCTTCATGGATAGCCAATGGCCTGAGCTCTGTTGCTTGACCACCCGTGTGTTTTTGTGTTTCCTGTTAGCATAATGAGACTTCGGTCAAATGGCAAGTTAGCTAAATGGGCCTTTTCGAAATCAGTGTTCTTTCCCAGTGGCCTGTGTCTACCCCTCGCTTAGTTCTGTCATTTTCTTATCATCAGGGCTTTTCAATAAATCTTGGTATCTGTTGTACCATCTCTACCACTCCCCTTATTAGCCTTCCATAATACTGTCTTGGTATCTTGGACCTCTCTATTCCACAGTAATAATTTTAAGATCAATTTGGAAACTTCCCACTCAGGAATGGCATTGCCCTTATAAATTCATTTAGTAGAACTGATAACTTTACCATATTCCATTCCATCATGAATATATCCCTTTATTTATTTAGGTCTTATTTTGTATCCTTTATAAAAAACTGTAAGACTTGTAAAAGTCCTGGCACATTTCTTGTCATATTATATCCTATGCTACTTCTTCTTGCTATAGAGAATGGTGTTTGTCATTGCATTTATTAAAAATTGATTGCTGCTGTATTGAAGAACTGTTATGTTTTAAACATTGGTCTTGAATCTACCAACCTTGCTGAATCCTCCCCTTAGTTTATTTGCAGTTTATTCAACTTAGCTGATAGTTTATCAGGAGATACACATTATCTTGGAATGTGACTAGTTAGGATTTTTTCTCTTCTAGTCATCATAGTTGTTTATCGTATCTTATGCAGAACTTGAAGAGCATTATTAAATAGGAGTTGCAAATGTAAGTATCTTTATCTTCACACTGATGTACAGAGGAATGCCACCAATGTTTTATCAGTAAGTATAGCATGTATTGTAGGTTTTTGGTAGGTTACTAGGTTAAGAAAAGTACCTTGTATTTGTAGTTTACTAAGAAATTCCATAGAAATGGGTTTGAAGAACTGGAAGTGGGGCTGATGTAATAGGGTGTGTAGCAAGCACAAAGCCCTGAGTACAGATCACTGTATTAGCAAAAAAAAAAAAAAAAAAAAATTTCATTAATGTAGGCATAGTGGCCTACATTTGTCATCACAGCTACATGAGAATAGGAGTAAGTAAAAAGGTGGTGTTCCAGACCAACCCCAGATAAGAAAATGTGAGATCTACCTGAAAACTGAAGCATAAAAAGCTGGGGGCCTGGCTAAGGTGGCACAGTGCCTGCCTAGCAAGCTCAAAGCCCTGAAGTCAAACTCTAGTACTACAAAAACAAAAGTTGTGAATTACATAACCCTTACTTTCTACTGGAGTGATTGCATTATTTTCTCCATTAATCTGTCAATGTGGTGGGTCTTCCTTGTACTCTAAGAAAAATCTCAGAGTTTGGCAATGATGGATTTTGCATATTGCTTAAATTACTTTGCCAAAATTTTCCTTAGAATTTTGTGTTCATGTTTGTGAGATTGGTCAATGACTTTATCTTATTCTGCTCTGAGTTTGGGTATCAGGGTTATAGTCACCTCATAAAATGAACTGGAGTGGGCTTTTCCTTTTATTCCCCTCTACACTGGGGACAATTGGAAGACATTAGAAAATATGTGTCCCTTGAAGTATTGGTAGAATTCAGTGGGTTTCCTTCATGTAAAAGAATGGTATCTCTTCTAGAGATTTCCTTATTCTGTTAGAATTCTTCTTTTCAAAGAAGCAGATATTGGCTTCATTAGTCTTTTCCATCTATCATTGTTTCCTATTTTGTTATTTCCTGTTTCTATATTGACTGTGCCTTTTCTTTTACTTTGTTTCAATGGAATCTGTAGTATTTCTATTTTTTTAAATTTGAATATTAATTTTGTTTTTTATTTTTTGTTTATTTATTCATTTATTCTTATGTGCATACATTGTTTGGGCCATCTCTCCCCCCACCCTCTGCCCCCTCACAATCCCTCCCATCCCCTGTTCTGCCCTCTTCTCCAATTTTGTTTGAGAGAAGACATAAGCAATAATAAGAAAGACAAAGCGTTTTTGCTAGTTTGAGATGAGGATAGTTATACAGAGAGATTCCTAGCATTACTTCTGTATATATGTGTATTACAACCCAAACAGGTTCATCTCTATCAGACCTCTTCACTATTTCCAGGTCACCTTAACATAGTGACCTCTGTCGTTTTAAGATTACTAGATTAGCTCTTCTACAGTGGGCACATCAAACACCTTTAAATTTTGGGTTTCCTACCTTTCCCTATTCCTCCTGTATGTGTCCTCCACTTAGCTTGTGACCCATGTCCAATAATATTACTGCATTTGTTACAGGTCTAGAGTCTGCATATGAGGGAGAACATATGATTTTTGGCCTTCTGAGCCTAGCTAACTTCTCTTAAGATGATGTTCTCCAGTTCCATCCATTTACTTGTGAGTGATAAGATTTCATTCTTGTTCACAGCTGAGTAAAATTCCATTGTGTATAAACAACACATTTTTGTCATTAGTGAGGTGTCTTGGCTGTTTCCATAACTTGGCTATTGTGAATAGTGCTGCAGTAAACATGGGTGTGCAGGTGCCTATGGAATAACCTGAGTCACATTCCTTTGGGTATATCTCTAGGAGTGGGATTGCTGGATCATTGGCAGATCTGTGTTTGTTTTTTAAGAAGCCTCCATATTGTTTTCCAAAGTGGTTTTACTAGCTTACATTCTTACCAGCAGTGTATGAGGGTTCCATATTCCTTGCCTCCTCGCCAACATTTGTTGGTGGTGGTGTTTTTGATGATAGCTATTGTCACAGGGGTGAGGTAGAAGCTTAGTGTGGTTTTGATTTGCATTTCCTTTATGGCTAGGGATGGTGAGCATTTTTTCATGTGTTTTTCAGCCATTTGGATTTCTTCCCTTGAA